GCTGTTGCTTTTGCCAAGATGTGCTGCAGCAAGATCAGCTTTTATAGCCTTCCCCGAATAATAATAATAATAAGACATCATCTGGTGTTAAGTGTATTGCTTTAAACTTACGCGCGAGCTGCTGGCGCTGCTGGTGCTGCTGCTGCTGCTGCTGCAGTGACCATACTCCTCCATACGCAACAGCAGCAGCAGCAGCAGCAGCAGCAGCAGCAGCAGCAGCAGCGACGGCGCCAACGCCGCTCTCCTGTTCACAGAACAGCGGACCTGCTGCTGCGCCCCGTGTCTCCCGCAGCATTTCAATTAAGGGGGATATTTAGATTTGTAAGAAAAAGGGTTTTTCTGCTTTTGCTGTTGCTGCTGGAGCTGCAGCAGCTGCAGCAGCCGCAGCAGTTAACAGCAACAACAATAACTCCTGCTGCTGCTGCTGTTGCTGCTGCTGCTGCAGCACAACCAACACCGGTGTATGCGCCCCTTAGTCCTCCTGTATCTTCTTTCCCTTGTGTCTGAAGCTGCCTGCTTGCAGGAAGCAGCAACCTGCTGCAGCAGCAACAGAGCCGCCTGCAGCAGCAACGACAGCAGCAGCAGCAGCAGCAGCAACTGCAACGTCAGCAGCAAACATTTTGACTGAGGCGTTTCACGATCTCCTGAGGCGCGCCCATTTGAAGCAACAGCAGCAGCAGCAGCGGCTTGGCTGTTGCAGTATACTCAGACCTCTGCTTCAGCAGCAGCAGCAGCAGCAGCAGCAGCAGCAACAGCAGCACCTGCAGCACCGGTAGTGTAATCCCTGCGGGTGCCGCAGCAGCAGACGCTGCAGCGTCCGTGCAACTGAAGTGGAGACACTGCAGCAAAGGAGACGCTAGAAAGATGGGGGGAGGCGACCAGAAGGGACCCGGAGAGCAGCAGCAGCAGCAGCAGCAGCAGCAAGAACAGCAGCAGCAACAGGCAGATCAGCAGCAGCAGGCAGGTCAGCAGCAGCATGTTCAGGTCGAGCAGCAGCAGCAGCAGCAGAAGCAGATGACGCCAGTGGAGGCGCCCGAAGCCAGCTCCAGCAGCAGCAGCAGCAACTCGAGCAGCAGCAGCAGCAGCAGCAGCAGCAGCAGCAGGGGCGCCGATGCTGCTGAAGAGCAGCACGATGAGGAGGAAGATGAGGGCGACACTTCCTTTACGCTGACTGTACAGACACTTGACCGTCGGCAGCTCAGAGTCACTGCATTTCCAGGTGCTGCTGCTGCTGCTGCTGCTGCTGCTGCTGCTACCGCTGCTGCTGCCGCCGCTGTTGCTGTTGCTACCGCTGCTGCTGCTGCTGCTGCTGAAGCAGACATGCTGTATGTAGTTGTTTCTCTGCCACGCAGATGTTTTACATGCCCATTCTGTCTCCCAATGTGCTTCTTCTGTTGCTGCTGCTGCTGTTGCTGCTGCTGCTGCTGCTGCTGCTGCAGACTGGACCACCCTGCAGCTGAAGGAAGCCCTGGCCCCACATGTGTTATATCCCCCCGGGGAGCAGCGGCTTATCGTGAGAGGCCACGTCATGAGGGTGAGGCTGCTGCTGCCGTTGGTGCTGCTGTTGCTGCTGCTGCTGCGGTTGCTGTTGCAGCAGCAGCAGAAACGAGAGGAACCGTTCTTGCTGCTGCAGCTTCGCCTGCAGCAGCGCAGCTGCTGAAGTGTTGCAGCAACTGCAGCAGCAGCAACAGCAACAGCAGCATCAGGTCGCTGTCTTTTGTCTGCGCGTCCTTTGCACCTCGCGCAACAGCAGCTGCAGCAGCGAGGCTACGCGCTGCTGCTGCTGCTGCTGTATCCGGAGAGCCAACCACTTTTGCTGCTGCTGTTGCTGCTGCTGCTGCTGCAGGACGAAGAAGTGTTGGAGTCTCTGGGCATTAGCAGCAGCGGGCCGATGGTACATGTGGTGCGGAACGCAGACAGAAGAAACAGTGAGTTGCTGTTGCTGCTGTTGCTGTTGCTGCTGCTGTTGCTGCTGCTGCTGCTGCAGTTTTCTGTTGTGTGTTGCTGCTGGTTCTACTTTTTGCATGCGGTGTAAGGGCAAGCCCAGCAGCAGCAGCAGAAGCAGCACTAGCAGTAGCAGCAGCAGCAGCAGGAGCAGCAGCTGGAGCAGGATGTGTTTGTGGTTTTTGCGTCGCAGCAGCAGGAGTGCATGGGAGCAGCAGCGCAGCAGCAGCAGCAGCAGCAGCACTATCACCACAGGAGCTGATGATGCAGCAGCTAGCGAGGTCACCGCAGCTGCAGCAGCTGATGGAGAGTGACCTCATGGGCAGCTTGCTGCAGTCTAGCCCGCTGCTGCAGGCGTTGAGAGAACAAAACCCTGAGATCAACAGTCTCCTCTCAGACCCCCAGGTAAACCCCAAACCCTAAACCCTAAACCCTAAACCCTAGACAGCGGACGCGAAACCCCAAACACCAAACCCTAAACCCTAAACATAATCTATACCCTGAATACCAAACGCCAAACCCTCAATACTCAACCCTAAACCCTAGACACCCTAAACCCTAAACCCTCAAACCCTAGACCCTTAACGCCAAACCCTAAACACCACCCCCAACGCAGAACCCCCTAAACCCTAAACCCTGTGCTCACACAGCTGGAGTAGAAACAGCAGGGATGCCCCGCTGACTGCTCGTCATATGAAGGGTTTAGGGATTTAGGGTTTAGGGTTTAGGGTTTAGGGTTTGTTTGTTGCAGCTGTTTCGCATGGGCATGGACGCCATGAGGAACCCTGCGTTGCTGAGGGAGATGATAAGGAATACAGACAGGGCTCTAGCTAACATTGAAGCTGTACCAGGGGTAGCTGCTGCTGCTGCTGCTGTTGCTGCTGCTGCTGCTGTGGCTGCTGCTGCTTGTGCTGCGGTGCCGCTGCTAGTGTTCGTATTGGCTCCTGTGTTGCTTTTGCTGCTGCTGCAGCTGTTCTGCTGCTCCAGTGCAGCACAGCAGTGTTGTTGTTGCTCGAGCAGTTGCCTTTGGTTGCTGTCGTTATATGCTGCTGCTGCTGCTGCTGCTGCTGCTGCTGCTGCTGCTGCTGCTGCTGCTGCTGCTGCTGCTGCTGCTGCTGTTTGTGGCTCCTTTGATGTTGCTGTTCCCCGCGCCGCTGCGACCGCCGCTGGTGCTGGTGCAAATGTTAGTCCTGCTGCTGCTGCTACTGCTTCTGCTCCTACCGCCGTTGCTGCTACTGCTGCTTCTGCTTCTGCTGCTGCTGCTGCTGCTGCTGCAGGGTTTCAACGCGTTGACGCGGGTCTATCGCGGGGTGCAGGAGCCGATGCACGAAGCAGCAATTCAAATTGCTACGGAGCTGCGCGGCAGCTCAGGGAGAGGAGAGAGGGGAGAGGGGGCGGGGGATGCAGCGAGCCAACGCAGAGACACGGGGCCCTCCAGAGAGGCCTTGCCGAACCCCTGGGGTTAGCTGCTGCTGCTGCTGCTGCTGCTGCTGTTGTTGTTGCTGTTGGTTCTGCTGCTGCTGGTTCTAATGCTGCTCCTGCTGCTGTCCGATATTTGCTGCTGCTGCTGGTTTTGCTGCTGCTGCTGGTTCTGCTGCATTTGGCTTTGCTGCTGGTTGTGCTGTTACGGGCTCAGCTGCTGCTGCTGCTGCACCTCGTGGGGCTGGATGGTTGTGCATGCGGTGTGCTGCAGCGCCGCAGCAATCGCAGCCTCGCCAGCGCTCTGAGGGGGCAAGAGAGGCCCATGAGCTGAGTACGTATCTCGAGGCCAGGAGGCGGCAGCAGCAGCGGCAGCAGCAGGCGGTGCGACAGCAGCAAGTGCAGCGGGAGTACCTACAGCAGCGGCAGCGCCTCTTGCAGGAGCAGCAGCAGCAGCAGCAGCAGCAGCAAGAGACCACGACGACGGCAGCTGGCGCATTGCCATCACAGCAGGTCAGAAGGAGCTGTGGAATGCTGCTGCTGCTGCTGCTGCTGCTGCTGCTGTTGCTCCTGCTGTTGCATAGGGTGTTGCTCTTTCTGCTATGTGTTGGGCGTAGGATNTGCTGCTGCTGCTGTTGCTCCTGCTGTTGCATAGGGTGTTGCTCTTTCTGCTATGTGTTGGGCGTAGGATTTGCTCCTGCTGCTGTTGCTGCTGCTGCTACCTAATGCTGCTGCTGCTGCAGTTACATAGTACTTCAGCTAGCGCTGCAGCTGCGGGTTGTGTCTGCCTTCAGGCTCAGGCTTCTAGTGGTTCAGGTGTACAAACAGCTCCTGATGCAGCAGCAGCAGCAGCAGCAGCAGCAGCTGCTGCTGCTGCTGCTGCTGTTGCCTCCCCAGGCACCTCAGGGGCGCCGCAGCCTGCATGGGGGTTTGGGGGGCCGGGGGGTATCGTCCAGGACTTCACGAGGTATGCTGCTGTGCTGCAGCTGTTTTCTGCTGTTCTGCTGCTGCTGTTTTGCTGCTGCTGTTGCAGTTGTGGTCGCGCTAGGTCTGCTGTTGTCACAGCAGCAGCAGACGCTGCTGCTGCTGCTGCTTTGATATTGTTGCTGCTTAGACAATTCGGCATAATACTTTGCCTACAGAAGGCATGCTGCTGCAGTTACTGCTGCTGCAGTTGCTGCTGCTGCAGTTGCTGCTGTATTTTCTGCTGCTGCTTCAGTTCGCACTATGTTGGGGTGTATATGCACGGATGCGGGGTGTATGTGCTGCTGCTGCTGCGGCTGCAGGCTGAGTGTGGGGAGCATGGAGCCATCTGCAACGGCGTCTGCTGCGCAGCAGCAGCAGCAGCAGTCTCAGCAGCAGCGGCAGCAGCAGCAAACTCAGCAACAGCAGCAGCAGTATGCGCATCAACTGGCGTCTCTCAATGCCATGGGCTTCTCGAATCAGGCGGAGTGTTTGTGGGCGCTGCAGCAGACAGGAGGTTGGTTGATGCTGCTGCTGTTGCTGCTGCTGCTGCTGCTGTTGCTACTGCTGCTGTCGCTGCTTCTGTCGTTGCTTCTGCTGCTGCTGCTGCTGGTGTTGCTACTGCTGCTGTTGGTGCTGCTGCTGGTGTGCTGCGTGTGTGCACCAACACATACACGAAGCAGTTTGCGCTGCCTGGGCGTACCTTTGCTGCGCTGCTACTTTTAATCTGCTGCTGCTTCTGCTGCTGCTGCTGCTGCTGCTGCTGTTCTTGTTTCTTAGGGAATATAAACCGAGCAATCGATTTACTGTTGGCTCGGCATCAGTGAGGCGCTGTGACGCCCATAATGCTGCATCTAGCGCTGCTGCTGCTGCAGCTGCTGCAGCTCCGGCTGTTGCTGCTGCTGCTGCAGCACCTGCTGCTGCACGGGGGATTGCTGTCCGCTTCTCTTCACGAGACGCGACGACCCTATTCTGGCTCGCAGCTCCAGCGCTGCTCGGCTGCAGTGGCTGCTGCAACAGCAGCAAACTCCTGCTTCTGCTGCAGCAGGAGCAGCAGCAGTTTGCTGCAGATAAAAGTCATGCTGGCTCTGTTCCTGTAGCAGCAGCAGCAGGAGCAGCACACTGGCTACCTATAGCTGCCGCAGCAAGTTGTTCCTCACCAAGTGCTGCATGCATTGCCGCTGCTGCTGCAGCAGCAGCAGCAGCAGCAGCAGCAGCATTGTACTGCGACAGTCCGGTCGCACTCTTTGCTGCAGCATATGCGGAAGCACAAAGCAGCGCGCTGTAGCAGCAGCAGCAGCAGCAGCAATGTCGGCGGCAGCAGCAGCAGTTGCTACCACCGATGGTTGTGCTAGTTACCATTACAGGAGCAGCAGCAGCTGCAGGAACGACACCCGCAGCAGCAGCAGCAGCAGCAGCAGCAGCTACTGCTGCTGTTGCTGCTGCTGAGAATTTTTCCTCCCGAGGGAGTCACACTCTTAATGGGGTGTACGTACACTTCATTCTTGTCTGGCTGCAGCAGCAGCAGCAGCACCGAAGAATAGCAGCAGAACACAGGGGCAGCAGCAGCAAAACAAACCCGCAGCAGCAAAGCATAGCAGCAGCAGCAGCAGCAAGAGAACACCCCTGCAGAAGCATAGGACACTCTGGCAGCGGGCTGTCTGCTGCTGTTGCTGCCGTTGCTGCTTCACTGTTGCTGCTGCTGCTGTTGATGCTGCTGCTGTGCAGTTGTTTGAGCTGGAGAGAGACAACCAGGAGACAGAAAAAGTAACAAACAACGCTAAAACTGTTTTCCATTGCTAACAAAACCATATGCTAGCTGCAGCTGCAGCAGCAGCAGCAGCAGCAGCCAGCAGCAGCAGCAGCGGCAGCAGCTCCTAGATGGGAGGTCTGCTCATCGTACAGCTATAGCTAGAACGCCTCATCTGTTAGTTGTTGTTGTTGTTGCTGCTGCTGCTGCTGCATCAACAAGAAAAGACTGCGAATGTTTATAGTCTGCTGCCCAGCAGCAGCCGATGCAGCAGCAATTGCAGCAACTGCTGCTCCTGCTGCTGCTGCACTGTGTTGCAGCTGCAGCAGCTTTAAGTGGATCGCGCTGCGCCCTTTAGAGTCTACCAGCGGCAGCCTTCAACGGGTAGCAGCTGCAGCAACATCCTGCTGCACTAATTGCTGCTGCTGCTGCAGGAGCTCGTGGTGCTGCTGCTGCTGCAGCAAGGCGGATTTGGTTGGGCCAATAGGGACTATGGTTTCGTGTCTGCTTCAGTATCTTCTCTCGGTTGCTGTTGCTGCTGCTGCTGCTGCTGCTGTTTATCCTGGTTTGGTGTGTTGTGTATATGTTGGCTTAGGACTTTGTTGAGTGTGAACATAGAGAGTTCGCGCTGCTGCAGCAGCGGCAGCAGCCGTTCATCTGCTACAACAATTCTTTTGTTGTCTTTCTTCTGTAACCCCTTCTCCTTTATATAAGACCATATAAACCTCGTCACCTCAACGCGAGAGGCCTGGGGGCGGCCCATGAACTCAGCTAGGGGGGCCCCAAGGTTGCACACTTTGTGCAGCCCGGTTGCTCTACGCGGGGCCGGCTTCTCGCCGCCGCTGCTGCTGCTGCTGCTGCTGCTGCTGCTGCTGTTCGTGGCAGGGGTGCCAGCTGGGGTGGCTGTCGCGTAGTCTGTGGGCCCTGAAGAGAAGAAATGCCGAAGGGAGCTGCACAGGGGGGCCCGGGCCTCACATGTAGGGATACCACCCCAGCCACCACAAGCTGCTGCTGCTGGAGCGGTTGCTGCTGCTGCTGCTGCTGCTGCTGCTGCAGGTACCGGTAACCTCTGCTGGAGCAGCTGGCAGCATCTTCCCACGGGGGGCGACAACACGCCCACCAGTCTGCCAACAGGTGAATACATTTTGTTCACAAATGTCAGCTAGATAAAGAAATAGGTTTTGGAGTAAAATATAACAAAGACAGGAAAGAATCCTTATAAATGTGTGTATGCAAAGCTGCAGCTGCTGCTGCTGCTGCTGCTGGACCTGCTGCTGCCTGCTGCTGATGCTGTGCTGGACCTGCTGCTGCTGCTCGTGCTGCTGACGCTGCTGCTGCTGCTGAAGTGGTTTGCAATGAATTCTTTAACGAACAAATACGAAAAAGACAAACAAGAAGGACTGTGCGTAGGATAGAGACGGCAGGAGGGGGGCCCCTGTCTGCTGCTCAGGCTACCGCTGCTGCTTTCGCTGCTGCTGCTGCTGCTGCTGCTGCCGACGCGAGTAAATTTTACCTTAGCCCGTTGCACCAATTGATTTCTTTTGGTATT